TAAGGGAGGGTAATTAAGTAAAATAATTCTGATTTCATTTGAATTTTGTACCTAAACAAAAGATATTTTATTAACATCGCATTTAAGATAGTAAACAATAAATTCATACACTTTTTTCTCAAATAAGTCTAAAAAATTATATCAACACAAAAAAAAACCCTAGTTTTTTAGAAGGAAAACCCCATGGGTGCATATTTTAAACTCGATTTAACCCATAAATTTAAACTAAATAATAGTACCCAACTCATTTTTATCCCATATTAATAAAAACAGGTACCTAACTTATTAATTTATGAGATAATGGGATTTGAGTACCTTTTTCAAAACTTATTTGGTTTTAAGTACCACCTCCAAACTTATTCTCCTTTAAGTCCTCTTTTTCATCAAATAGTTGTTAACAAGTACACATTTTAAAATATTTTTCAAATTCTTTCTAAAATGTATTCAATAATTACCCCTACCATAAATAGTACATATTTAATTGACAGTTTTTATATTTCTAATATCTAAATATTAGAATGTGAGGCTTTCAAGATTTCTTTTGATATTTGTGTATCATTTGAATTTTAAAATTTTATACACACACACACACATATATATATACATATGTATATACACACACATACATAAAGAGATTTGAATTTCCTTTTATTGTGAATAAATTTCGTAAAAAATATTTTGAAAAAATATCCCACATTTATATATATATATAATACAATGAAGTCACACTATGAAGTCTAATTTCTATTACTCTTACATTGTTTTGTTACAATGTATTAATACATTTTAAACTTGTGTAATTCTTAAACTCTAGTTTTTATTACTCCTACACTTTTTTGATACACTATATTGACACACTTTAATTTCATAAACTCTTTAAAGTGTAACAAAATAGTGTAGGAGTAATAGAAATTAGGCGTCATAATGTAACTTCATAATATTATATATATATATATATATACACACACGTTACCAAATTAAATCCAATATAAAATCAAAATTCTTTAATTTTAGTAGTTTCTATGATAAGACAATTAAAATTCTTTAATTTTAGTTGTTAAACTTCAAAAGTTTCTAAAAACTTTGAAATATATTCCTAAAAAAATGGAGAAAATTTATTACGAGTTTTGATTTTCTTAAATTTTAGATTTTTGTTTTATTAGAACTTCAATATATATATGAGGGCAAATATGTCAAAAGAAAATCACAAAAAGTCAAATTATATACTTGGACACAATTAAATTCTAAAAATAAGTATTTAATGACATAATATTAAGAGTTGTGTATTTTTGACAATAAGTCTAATTTTGTGTATCTTTTTACAATTAACCCTTATTTATTTTAATTGCTCAAAATATTTATATAATAAAGTAGTTAAATTGTTTGTCTTAAGCTATTCGTCGCTTAAATCATTTTAATCTGACTGTCCTAATGCGAAAATTCCCCCCCTAAATTTTTTAAAAAGACTTTCACTCCTTTTACAACTTTAAAATTTATATCTCTCATATAATTCTCTCTCATACTATCTGATATTACATCTCTTTCACTCAGCTCTCCGACTCTTCTCTCTTTTCCAGCTCTCCGTTACCTCTCTCTCTCCCTCCCATGTGAAATTCCCCTCCCAATTTTTTGAAGAAGACTTCCATTGACTAATCTTGATTTTTCGTAATTTGTAGTGCAATCAAATTTAGGAGTTGCTTCAATTTTTTTTTGTTTGCTTCAAAATTCATTAAAAAATCATAGCTGCCGAATGTTTTGCTTCTCTATATTTAGCAGCATTAGTTTGTTAAAAGATGAAGATCTATTTTACGTACAGGCAGTATGTATATGCATGGATGGCAACTTGCAAAAAATATTTTAAAGCTCCAATATAAAAAGGGTGATTTGTGTATGAGAATTGATTTTCAAAACATCGTTGCTTGAAACTTTATGGAATTAGGTGGAGAAATTGAGAAACTTTCAATGATTATGCAAAAAAAAATATTTTAGAATTATTTTTTATTTGGGAGGGTTTTTTTTTTTGTTCATTCATAATATCTTGGCAATTTATGTTTCCTTACTAGCATTAACCTAAATATATGTAGTTTTTTTTTTTGGTCAAAAATATATATGGTAGTTCAAACATATATAGTAGGATATTATCATTCTTGATATGTTACATAGTATTTGTTTCGATACAATTTGGGTTGTTGCTTTTATTTTAGTTTTACATAGTGCTTTCAGATACGAGTAATCTCTAGTATTTAAACATTGCACTATCTATTTTACAAAGTTACTTTTACAAATTCATTCCAATCACGCTTTCTATTTTATCTAACTACTCTAACTAATTTTCAATAATTTATCTTAGATGAATTACACAACACCAAATCATTTTCTATTCCTCCCAGAATCATTGACACTGCTCGTGTGTATCACCATTCAATCTTCACACTCAAAAGCCCTGTATTTACATATGTTGCAGTTGCTGATTTTGGGTAATCAAGCATCAAAAAAGCATAGTAAAATAGAAACTAGAGGTTTCAATACCTATTATTTTGGCCAGTTGAATATCTTGGCGATTGATTGATGATTCAACAAACCTTCAATGGTTAAAGCACAGTAATTTTCACACAGATCTTCGATCAAAATTCTTCAAATTATAGCGCAAAAGAAAAATACAAAATTCTTCGATTCAGTTCTTTTACTGATTCACCTCCAACAAGCCTATCGTTGTTTGACGATCGACCGATTTGCATTCTCCATAGGATTTTTGGTGGCATTTCAATGGATTTTTGGTGAATTTTGAGACGGGTTTTTGGCGCAACTCCCCCTTCCCCTTCCCCTTCCCCCAAAAAAAATAAAAAATAAAAAATAACCAATGGGATAAAGAGTCCTTTGGAGCAAAATTTTTGGAATTGGTTCTTCAAAATAGTTTAAGTACAGCTTAAACTGAGCACGTTGGAGTTGCTCTTAGGATGCTTTTGGTCAGAGTTGGACCAAAAAAATGAGACACTGATCCAATTGGACTGATTTATCACGATTGGATCCAAGTTTTAGATGATTGGTGATTGTGCCATAAGATCATATCTATAATAAATAAAACCAAGCATTTTTTTATGTTTGATAAACCTAAAAGTTGAATGTTGAATTTTTTTATGTCATAGACTGTTTGACATCTATTGAAATTTAAGTGTTGAATTGAATCAAATTGTTTGACAAATATAAAAAATTAAAATATGAAAATTATTATTATTTTAATTTTGTCCTTCTCTTTAATTATTTCACCGCAAATACCTTATTCCTATCACCATCATCACAAGTGATTGTGGTGATGGCGACGACATAATAGTGGTGGTGGCGGCGATGGTCGTGACACAACAATGGTGGTGATAGTGGTGATGGTGGTAGTGACGACACAATAGTGATAATGGTGGTGGATATTGAAAAGTTAAAAGTGTAAAATATTTTGAGTGTATATTTATCAATTATGAGAAAGTTACAAACGGATAATTCTATGTGCACAAAAACTTAAATCAAATCAACATCAGTCTTTGGATCATTGATAGGACTCACTGATTTAACGACCACAAGTAATTTGGTGTATTTTTTTGTGCACATAACATTGCTCTTTATAAAATTCTTATTGATTAATATTTTCAATATTAAGTGATAATTAGTTGGTTGACTACTTCAAATTTTAACCTATTTTTAAAAATCACTTAAAATATTATGTAGTATAAGTTTTAGGTTATCAAACAAGTTTAAGAGAATTACACTCAGACCCTTGATGTTTGTCATTTAATTACTCAAATCTCCTCATATTTAAAATATTACACACAGATTCTAAATTTTGTACGCACGTAACATTTATACCTCTATTGTCAATGTCCGTTAACACTTAAATCCTCTTGAATTTACTATCAGATATATTAACTGACATTTGACTGCAATGATCTAAGTGTTATGTGCATATAAACTTTAGGAGATATGTTTGTAATATTTTAAATATTAAGGGACCTGAATAATTAAGTGACATACTTCAAAAGGTGTAAGTGTAATTCTCCCAACAAATTTAATTCATTATATACTTAAAACATTCAATTATAAACATTAAATAGTATTATTAACGAGTCCCTTAGAAAAAGAATAGCGTTCAAATTGTTTAGATTCGACGATTTATATTACGTTTAAAATTTTAACTTTTTAACTATAATAATTCATTTTAACTTACAATTATCTCTCCTGCAGATGCATAAATGTAATTCTCTCTCCAAGAATCGCTTTCCACCCTAATTATTTTTTTCCCCAATCAATTCACTGTAGGCCCCTTTATTATTATTACTTAATTTGTAGGCGTAACCAAAACTCCTCCTCTTACCTCTATTGGTCTTTTGTTTTTTGCTTTTCAACACTCTCTCTCTACCGTTTGGTGGAGATGTGGGTTCCTGTCCCTGGCATACTATCTTATCTCCATCTTCAGATCTCTTTCCCATTTACCATGGTTAAGTCAGCTTACACTTTACAGTTTACACCCACCTATATCCTCTGTAGAAATTTTGGGTTAAAAAAATCTACTCTTCATACCAACCAAAGCATGATACCAAGATCAGTAGTTTTGATAAAAAAGATTATATTTTTAATTAAAGCCACTTAAAATTGAGTATCAAGTAAACAATTGGGTGTAAAAATATAATTATATGACAAATACAATCATAAAAATTATCATAAAAGACAAGGAACATATGATTTTTGACTATAGTGGTATATTTTTATTATTTTAATCTTTTTAAGAAATACACTGAGAATTTAAGAATCATTTAAAGAACAAAATGTCATTGACCCTCTACATAATTACTTAGGAATCCCAATTTTTTAAGGTAAATGAAATTCATATTTTAATCTTTCCACCAGATATATCTCACAGTTGAGTGTAATGTACAGTGAAAAACAGGTGCGAGCCAATAGATCATATGAGAAGAAGAATAAAAGAAGTAGAAAGAACAAGTTGAAGAAGAATCATGGGTGGGGAAGCCATGTTAAAACCAGTTGCAGGTGCAGTGGGTGGGACCCCTAACCCTCAACCCTGTCCAAAAACCACCATGACCACCAAACCTCATCTTTATCCTCCCTCTTCTTCCTCTCTCAAACTTTCTGTATCATCCAATTCCCCTGCACCCTTTGGAAAATCTTCTGCTAAGTGTTCTTACGTTGGTGAATCAAGCACAAACAAACTGGGTTCTGTTGAAGGAAGAGAAGATAAAAGAGCAAGTGGGTCTAAATATGAACATGTTTTTTGGGCTGTTCCATCTAGATCTGAAGTGGAAAAAGCCCTGTCTGATCTTCTAAGGTGAGTGATTGTTTTAGAATTCTTTTGGGGTATGTCACCTAATTACTTGTTGTATGTGGGTTTTCCTGGTCAGATATGAAGTGCTTAAATTTAATTCTGATATTGATTATGCTATTGATTGTATGAATTGAGCTGTGGTTAATAATGCTCAATTGCTCATGCAAGTTAAGGCCCTAAAATTACTATGTTGCTTCTGTGTAGATTTTTCCTCTTCTCCCAAATTGATGTGGCACTGAACATAAATTGCTAAGACTGAAAATNACACTCTCTCTCTACCGTTTGGTGGAGATGTGGGTTCCTGTCCCTGGCATACTATCTTATCTCCATCTTCAGATCTCTTTCCCATTTACCATGGTTAAGTCAGCTTACACTTTACAGTTTACACCCACCTATATCCTCTGTAGAAATTTTGGGTTAAAAAAATCTACTCTTCATACCAACCAAAGCATGATACCAAGATCAGTAGTTTTGATAAAAAAGATTATATTTTTAATTAAAGCCACTTAAAATTGAGTATCAAGTAAACAATTGGGTGTAAAAATATAATTATATGACAAATACAATCATAAAAATTATCATAAAAGACAAGGAACATATGATTTTTGACTATAGTGGTATATTTTTATTATTTTAATCTTTTTAAGAAATACACTGAGAATTTAAGAATCATTTAAAGAACAAAATGTCATTGACCCTCTACATAATTACTTAGGAATCCCAATTTTTTAAGGTAAATGAAATTCATATTTTAATCTTTCCACCAGATATATCTCACAGTTGAGTGTAATGTACAGTGAAAAACAGGTGCGAGCCAATAGATCATATGAGAAGAAGAATAAAAGAAGTAGAAAGAACAAGTTGAAGAAGAATCATGGGTGGGGAAGCCATGTTAAAACCAGTTGCAGGTGCAGTGGGTGGGACCCCTAACCCTCAACCCTGTCCAAAAACCACCATGACCACCAAACCTCATCTTTATCCTCCCTCTTCTTCCTCTCTCAAACTTTCTGTATCATCCAATTCCCCTGCACCCTTTGGAAAATCTTCTGCTAAGTGTTCTTACGTTGGTGAATCAAGCACAAACAAACTGGGTTCTGTTGAAGGAAGAGAAGATAAAAGAGCAAGTGGGTCTAAATATGAACATGTTTTTTGGGCTGTTCCATCTAGATCTGAAGTGGAAAAAGCCCTGTCTGATCTTCTAAGGTGAGTGATTGTTTTAGAATTCTTTTGGGGTATGTCACCTAATTACTTGTTGTATGTGGGTTTTCCTGGTCAGATATGAAGTGCTTAAATTTAATTCTGATATTGATTATGCTATTGATTGTATGAATTGAGCTGTGGTTAATAATGCTCAATTGCTCATGCAAGTTAAGGCCCTAAAATTACTATGTTGCTTCTGTGTAGATTTTTCCTCTTCTCCCAAATTGATGTGGCACTGAACATAAATTGCTAAGACTGAAAATGTTTCGTCTGAGTTTTTTTTATTTTTTTATTTATTTATTTTTTTTGGGGGGGGGGGTATAGATAGAATTTAGGCCATTCTGTATTGTCAAATTTACTATGTGATCAGCATGCAGGAGTTCATTAGTATAAAAACTAATTGAAATAGTTATAGAAGCCTATAAAAAAAGGATAAGCTACATGAAAAAAGGATTTCTAAAGGTGGTGCTGTAGTTTGAAACTACAGGTGTTTGCTAAGTCTGGTCCTAATTGCATTATAATTTGTTTTAGCTGCTCTCATAAATTCAAGTTCCTGAGAAGTTCTATCTAATTGTTCTTCTATAGAAAAGTCGTGGGTGACTTGGTGAGGATAATAATGTGTTTAGGCCACTTTCTTAACTTCTTTGCCTAGCTAGCTTAGTCCAAGCATAAACACAATAAGATTATCCTGCTCATAGTATTTATATCGATTCATGCATGGGGTTTCTGCATCTAAATCAGAAATTAACAGGTTTCAGCGGATGTTGAACCATCATGATCCAAGAATGTTGCAGTCTCCTGGATATGGAAGAATTCATGATGCTTTTCATATGCTGCAAACAGACCCATCAGTTCAGGTGCCTTGTGTTTCTCATACTTTAGGCTGCTTTAAACTGTGGTTTTGCTCTGGAATTGAAGGTATAGTTGTCATTTCAGACAAATATTGAATCCCGTATCATGTTCTGCAGGCCATTCTAATTAGAGTAAGCATAAGGGAAAACAAAACACCAAATGCTCAAATAAAAATGAAGTGATCATAGAGAATGACATAGTGACTACTTGGCCTTGTCCAAGTCTCTTTTCACATGCTGAGTTCTACCTGCAGTTCAATTTAGTATGCTTGTGTTTCTTTATTCTTAGCTTCTATTTGCTTCAATTATGCCATACATGGGGTTGTTTCTCATCATATAATGTATACCTCTTATTTTTTTAGCTATTTATATGACAGAGTACAACAGTTTAAATTTGGGTAAGTTACAAAAGTTTAAACTGAGGTTATATGTAAATACATTTACAATTGTTATCTGAAAAAATGCTACTTTGTATGCAGAAAATGGTCATCTCAATATCAAGTGATAAAGCTGTATGGGATGCCATCATGAAAAACAAGGCAATTCAGGATATCCAGGGCTTATTGCGCGCAGGTTTACATGGAACTGCATCTTTTCCTGCTTTCACTTTTTCGTTGAACTTTAAGAATTGATCCCCAGACCAAGTTTACACCTTTAGATGTCTTTAATACTGCCCTGGTCGATTTTTTTTTAACTTCTCATAAACCCTTCAGAAAGATTCAGTATTGAAAGTGGTTGTTTTTTGGCTGATTTTTTTGTCATGTATCTCCACCCATAAAGGGTAGTCCTTGGACTAGAGCTCTTCTTGCCTGAGCTCAATCAAACTGAGCTCAAGTTGTTGTGCGCATTAATCTTCCTGCAGAGCTCTTTAGTCGATCTGTTTCACTTGGTCTTTTTTTTTTCTCATCCAAGGGTAAGTCCTAAAATATTCGTATTTTCTATTATACCAGTCAAATTCAATTCCAATTTATGTATTAACCCCAAAAACTAAAAGGCGAAATGGGCCCGAGTCCTTGGGTCGTTAATATATCCATTATTTTTGGGGATAAGATCTGATGGTGTTTAACTAAGTGGGATGAGCAGAAGGAGAAAACTACTCTTGCGCATCTGGGTTGATGTATTTCAAAAAGGGGGTGTGTGGATAACTTGCACAGTAAAAGTATAATGGTTCACCGAACTCGAAAGTTCGGCTAATCCACTCTCTAATGGAGTCTCTTGCTCCTTAGGTTTTATTAATTTTGGCAGCGATTTATAGAGTATCTTGATAATTCCCGGATCCTTTCTCTCCCCATCGGAGGTATTATATAGTATTTATAGCTATGTTACTGTTGTTAAGGGATCTGCCAAGAGATTTCTGCCCCTCATTCTCGGGATTTGTCTTGATTTTTGGCGAAAATTTTGGTTGGTTGAGAGTCCTGTGTCTTGATTATGGTCTCCTAATTTCTTGGGAATACCAGCTGTCTCCTCCTTGATTTTCCTCCTGATATTGAGGGGAGCTCGTGGTCTGACCACGCGAGCTCTGGACAGTTGACCTGCTTTCCCAAGCTAAGCTCCCAACTTGAGCTCACTCTTGGGATTTCTTCTAGGTATCATTAGTTGTCCCTCAGCCCCTGGTCAAAGTGGGTTTGACCAAGAGCTGATCTAGAATTAAGTTGAAGTGGAATTTCTCAGAACAACCTCAACCCATGTGTGGAAGTTGCTTTTTGACGGTTTTCAGCAATCATTCCTTTCCTCGTTTCCCGTGCATGCTACAACCCACATCTTTCGAGCTTTATACACGCACATAGTAACAAAAAATCACCAATCTTCCTATTCATCTTCTTCCTTTGGCCTTTGATTTCTCGCTTTCCTGCATTCTTTGCTTTCCTATCTTACTAGCAAAATTAGGATTTTGCTGAACCTCCTCCCCTTTGGTTTCAATTTCGAAGGCTCCACGAGGCTCGCCTCCTGATTTTGCTTTGAGGTTTTGATTTGTCATCTCTGGCTAGGTATGTTTCTCAGTCCTCGTTTATTCCTTCGTTCTGGATCCCTCGAATCTGAGGTGGTTCTTGTATTTCTAGACTTTTCAATTCTGCTATTTTAGGAATCGGGGTTACTCTTTGTCTCGTCTTCCTCTCTTTCTCGACTCTTACTCTACGGCTAGAATTTTCCTTATTGGCAGTTGTTGCGTTCAAAAAACCCTCCTCTTTATAGGTCTCTCCAATTTTCCTATTCCTGTCCAGCTGTGTATGCTTTTTCTGAAGCTACAGGTTCATCCATCTCCCTCATGGGGAGCAAGTCTTCCGAAGCAAAGGACTTTGATTTGGGTGATGTGGGGAAAGAGATCGATAGCTTCCTTGACGTCGACTCTGCCAATATCGAAGAAAATACGAAAGAGCCTCCCTCTTCATCCTCCCCAATGCCTAAAAACCCCAGCAAGGGTAAGGCCAAGGTGAGCGGCATAGGGGTCTCAAGCAGCTCTGAGGGTGTAGGAGCTGTATCCAGAGCTGCCAAGCTCGTTGGTGCCAATGAGGTTTCTTTTCCTCAAATGAAAGTCTTAGCTGCTCGTTTTGGTTTTCCCCAGGAGAGACAATTCTGGTGCCCAGACGAGTTCACCCACTATGACTCCGTGGTCCCTAAGATGACCTGTTTTTTCGTAGCCTCTTTCGAGAATGGGCTCAGGTTTCCCATGCATCCCTTTATCAAGTCTGTCCTCTAGCATTTCAACGTCTGTCCTGCTCAAATTTTTCCTAACTTTTGGGGGTCTTAGTGGGCCTTCTAGCCTTTTTCAAGAGAAACGAAATTGGCATCCCTTCTTTTTCCCTGCTCATAAAATTCTTCAATGTTAAGTTCAATTCGGACGATTTTTGTACATTTCCAAGCGGGTGAAAACCCCAGCTTTGATCACTGACCTGCCCAGCTCTCATAAGAACTGGAAGAAGCAGTTCTTTTTTGTGTCAAGGAAAGCATGGGAATTTAAACCCAGCGATGCCACCGACTCCCTTTCAGTTCAGCGCTTTTGGGCAGGTCTAGACAACCTGGTTAAGCATGAGATTCTGAAAAAGGTCCCCTTTTCCTCTTTTTATCACTAGATGTTGAACTCATTTCTTTGGTTGTTCCAGGTATTCGTCCTGAGCTAGGAGCTGAGGCTAGGAGGATTCTGCTTACCTTCAGGGATTGGAAATCAGAGAGGTATTCCACCCTGACTGATCACTCCGAGCTTATAAGACTGGGCTTTAGCCCTCTAGAGATGAGGATCGAGGCCCCTGTTCCCCTCTCTGTTGCTGGAGCTAAAGGAATGTCAGGTGATACTTACACTCTCAACTCCTACCGTTTTCTTACCTTCTACTCCTGCCTCTCTTTTAACACATTTTGTCCTTAATGCTCAGGTCCCTCCTCAATGAAGCCCACGGCTAAGGATTGCATAGCCAAAGTGGCCTTGCTGAGAAAAACCAGAAGTGGGAGCAAACGCAAGTCTGAGGTCGGATCCGGGAGTGATTCGGCCTCCCCAACTAAGGTACCCAGGTTGGAGGTTCCTTCTTCTTTTCCTCAACTACCTATGGTGGACCCCTCGCTTCCTCCGAGCTCCCTGCAGGTTGTTCAGACCTCCCTACCCGAAAAGACTGGGCTACCTTTTTCTAGAGGGATCTCCGAACAAAACATAGTTTTGATTTCCCCCCTCCTCGCCCGAGGTTAAGAGAGCTTTGAAGATAGTCTCTCATCTTCTACCCAGGTCTACTCCTCCTTGCCCTACTGAGAGGTCCTCTCCACAACTCCCCAAGGTCCCCAAAAGCAAGAGAGGGAAGCTTCATGGTAGTGAGATAGGTGGGGGCTCCTTGATTGATAATGTCAAGTGTGCAACAGAGGCCATTGCCTCCATTATCACAGAATCTGATATCCAGAGGGCTGTAAGTATGCCCCTTGGATCTTCCATCTCTTCTGCTCTATTCGGTGCTATTTCTGTAAGTTTCTGGCCTTTTGTCTTTCTTCTTTGCCCTACCTCATTCCCCCATGCTGACTCTGGTCCTCTGGGGTTTGTGTTCTTGCTCATAGATGGCCATTCATGTGAGTGGCTTGTTGAAAAGGATCCAAGCTTTGGAAGGCTCTGCTAATGCTTCCAAGGCTTTTGAGCTCAAGGTTGCTAAGCTGTCCTTTGAAAACATCGACCTTAAAGCCCAAGTCCAGGACTTGCAGGCACAGGTGGAGAGGCAGACCTCACTCAACAAAGGCTTGGAGATCGAGAAAGAGAAGGTTGAGAGCGAGGGCAGACACATCAAGGAGGAGCTAGGGAAGACAAAGGAGGAACTTAGAGAGACCAAGGAGGAGCTCAGGCATAATACAGATGACTGGATTAAGGCTAGCCGAGAGAGTCTAAAGGCCTTAAGCTCTTATAGAGCCATGAAAAGAGAATATGATGTCCTAGCAGAGGCAAGCGACGCTCTTCGGAATGAGGTCAAGGCGCAGAGGGCTGTTACTCAAAAGAAGGATGATCTAATCGCCAAGTTGGCTGATGATGTCACCACTCAGTGGGCCACTGGCTGACTTGCTTTCCAAGACCAAGCTGAGTTGACCTATCCTAACTTGGACTTCAACTTTAAGCTCCCAGCTGAGGAGGGGACTGAGGTTGTTAACGCTGAGGCCAGTGTCTTGACCCCTTCTGCTTCTAAGACAGCTTCTGAAGGGGTTATGACATTTGACCCTCCTGGCGAGGTCTTGGCCCAAGAGCCTTCTACTTCTCTGGCCATTCCTGCAGCTTCTGCCTCAGAGATCGCTTCTATGCCTGTTACTACCGAGCTCCCCATTATTCCCTTTGTTGCCCCTGCCGCCAGTTCTTTCTCTGCTGAGCTTGTGGATGTAGCTCTTGCTCTGAGTTCGCCTGCGACTGGGGCCAAGACTCCTACGGTTTGCACCTCGAGAGTTTTCTACTTCTGCCCTTTGGAACACCTTCCACCGAGTTGCTAGGCTCTTCTCCTGCCCTTGCTACTGAGGCTTCAAGATCTNATCACAGAATCTGATATCCAGAGGGCTGTAAGTATGCCCCTTGGATCTTCCATCTCTTCTGCTCTATTCGGTGCTATTTCTGTAAGTTTCTGGCCTTTTGTCTTTCTTCTTTGCCCTACCTCATTCCCCCATGCTGACTCTGGTCCTCTGGGGTTTGTGTTCTTGCTCATAGATGGCCATTCATGTGAGTGGCTTGTTGAAAAGGATCCAAGCTTTGGAAGGCTCTGCTAATGCTTCCAAGGCTTTTGAGCTCAAGGTTGCTAAGCTGTCCTTTGAAAACATCGACCTTAAAGCCCAAGTCCAGGACTTGCAGGCACAGGTGGAGAGGCAGACCTCACTCAACAAAGGCTTGGAGATCGAGAAAGAGAAGGTTGAGAGCGAGGGCAGACACATCAAGGAGGAGCTAGGGAAGACAAAGGAGGAACTTAGAGAGACCAAGGAGGAGCTCAGGCATAATACAGATGACTGGATTAAGGCTAGCCGAGAGAGTCTAAAGGCCTTAAGCTCTTATAGAGCCATGAAAAGAGAATATGATGTCCTAGCAGAGGCAAGCGACGCTCTTCGGAATGAGGTCAAGGCGCAGAGGGCTGTTACTCAAAAGAAGGATGATCTAATCGCCAAGTTGGCTGATGATGTCACCACTCAGTGGGCC